GCGCGAGATCCCTGAGAGCGTCCCCGAGCCGCCCTGGGGGGAAGAGGGCAAGAGGCTGGGGGGCGTCCGAAATAGCCGCACCGAAAATCTTTCGGTTTGTGGTGAAAGGGAGCTAGCCTGCAGCTGCAGATGGAGGTGCAAGGCTTTAAACTATCATTTAGCACCCGCGTCTGAAACTCGTTTTGTGTGATTAATTGTGGTTTTGTGTGGTTCATTGTGCTGTTATTTCCAAAGGTCGACAAGTGTCTAGGGATGGAAATGCTCCATTTGCACTTATTCCCGTGCTCATCGTGTAAAGATGACACGGTTCCGTATTTCCATGTTTGAGTCCCAAAATGTTAAAATGTTCTGAACCGATAGCTCCCAAAGAGCCAACCACCAATATTAAAATAACATGTTTCTTTCAGAGTTCCTTGACAACAGATTTGAGAATTGTCTTCTCTCTCTCTCTCTCCCTTTTGTTTTTTTTTTTTCCCTTTCTTCACCATTTTCTTACCGAGGTTTGTTTTCTGTTTACAAGCCTGAAGATGGCTGCTGCTTCTTCCTGCAGTGTGGAAGAAGACGAGAGCCTGAAAGGATGTGAACTTTATGTTCAGAAACACAACATCCAGCAGATTTTAAAAGAGTGCATTGTAAACCTTTGCATAGCAAAGCCAGACCGACCCATGAAATTCCTCAGAGAACACTTCGAAAAATTAGAAAAGGTCAGTGATTTTCAGGTGACGTAAAATTTTACGATCTTATATCGAGAAGATGAAGTTAAAGATTTGAATATTTTGGTGCATTTTCCTTTAATTTTTTAAATTAGCATGCTACTTTTAAAAATAGAGTCTGTCAGAAAAAAAAAAAACTTTATTGCTGAAGTGTACTGTAATATTGGATATTATATAGAATTACTATGCATAACACAAGGATCATAATTTGTTATTAGACTGCATTTGTTAAAAACAACCAAAAGAGTTAAAAGCATGTTTTGCCTTATGATACACAGGGTCATGATTATTATGATGTTATGATACATAGTGAACTTTCATCTATAGGAAGAAATTGCTTGCAGGAACAAAAGATTCTATTTCCTTTTCAATGTCAGATGATGTGGTTTTCCCTTGTCCTAGGTTCTGAAAACCATCGGAACAGTTTGCCACTTTGTTTTATTAGCCTGTATTGCCTATCTCAGGTTCCTCCGATGAGAGAGATTTGGAAAGACTTCACGTGCCATAATTGTCTTAAAAAGCGATATAGAGGAGAAAACATGTTTTAAAACATTTTCTGCCAGTTCCTCACCAAAGCATAGTGGTGTCTTTTTTGAAATGAGCTGGAAGAACATGTTGCATGGGCCCAGATGTTCCCTGGGGACAGGATTCTCCAGATGTGTATATGTGTGCGTGGGGTTGCAAGTTGTTAGTTATACGTGTCTTCTATGATTGATAGCCTTAGTCTATCAGAGATTTTATTTTCATGCTTAAGAGGAGGATTATGAAGGAAGCATCTGAAGTTTGTAGGCTTAGGATCTGAGTTTCCTGTAGTTTGAATATTTGTCTTTTAAAAACAGAATTTTGTAAGGATAGAGCAAGAAAAGTAATAATTAGTGAACACTGCATGAAGATGATGTACTGTAAGTGATACAGGCATTGCATACGCCTCTGGTTGTTTGCTTTCCAGATATATTTTTATATAGGCTAGCATAGGTCAAATTTGTGTAAGCAGGAAAATACAAGTGTTATATTGTTGTGGGATCTGAGAAAGGAAATCCCATTTTCAGTGCTGAAAATTTGAAATCAGTGAGTTTTTGTAGGCAATTTGCAGAATCAAGGTTTAATTACTCAAATGTGGGAGATTCCTGCATTTTGATTGGCTTATAAAGGTAGAAAAAAAAAAAGGTAGAGAAATTACAGGTAAAGGTTTTCATTTTCCGCTATACTGAGACTGAAAAACTTTCATGGGTGCCTTAATCGTATGATCAAAGGTGGAGTTGTCTCGCCAAGCTAAGCTATACTTCTGTTCAACAGAAAAATGATCTATTAATAAAGAGTAAAACTAATGAAGAAAATAACACAAAAGAGTAATAGGGAGCAGAAACTTTGAGCATATCTTTAGGCATTACTTAGTCTTCTGCTGAAGTTATTTTGCATATGCAGTATTTTGGTGCAGTGGCTGAGCCAGGTAGTCTGTTCTACCTTCTGGTCTTAGCACTCTCCTGCTCCCTTCTCTTTTGCTGTGTACATGTAAGAATAGTTGTGCTTTCTTGTGCTGTTGAATAATATCATGGATTGCTGTGGACTGGTAGGGTTTTTATGAACTCAGGCTGATGCTGCACGTTTCAAGGTGCCATCCAGAAAGTTTTGGAAAATGTTGACTTTACTGGTTGTAACTGAATAGAGCAGAATGAGATGTTTTGGGTAGCTCTACCTAGTGACATGAGACAGTACTGCACATAGACCTCATCTGCAGAAAAATAAAGTCATGTTTATAACAGCTTTGCTATAAGCAAGGAAGTTAGTAGTAAACTGAAAATTCATTCACAATTAGCTAAGTATAGTGTAGAACCAAAGCTATTTTGACATCAAGCTTTTCTGCAAAAGTAGTCTTTCACAGTAATTACATTTTATCAGAAAAAGACAGTTTTCAATCAGTAACATGACTGTTCTGTGTTGTGTGTTGTGTGCGTTTTGGAGTAAGTATAATTCATTCCTTTTAGATAGGCTGGGGAGAATTGCAGAAAAAACCTACGGAGAAAAAGCTATCTAAAAATGCATTAACATAGCAGCATGATAAAGATCAATATGAAAAATATTTCTGTGTCTTTTAAAGCCTGAAAGGCTTTCGAATTTTGGTGTCTGCTCTGTGGTCAGAAATATTGCTATATGGGAACATAACTGAGCTATCTGAGATGCTGATAGCAGGAAGCAGTGGAAGCACCAGCTGCACTACTGTGTGACTGTAGTTTTGAAAAACAATAAAGAGAAAACAAGTTTTCCTAAGAATTAAAATTAGTTACAATTGAAACTGTGCTCTTAAGGACTTTTGCAGACACATTAGAGAGTCATTGAACTCCCTCTATGCTTTTTATGTCCCCAAGTGCAAATAGCTTTCCACTTCTTAGAGTCCCAAAATGACAAAAAAGGGGCACAGTGATGGAATTTGAAGGAAATACAGTTTTCTTCCCTGAATCTGTGTAGATGTAGTCTTTGTTTCTCATTTCAAGCTATCATGTTTTGCACTCATCAGGATGCTTAATCACATGTTAATCTTTAAGTATATAAGTGGCTTTAAAGAAACAGGTCCATGCTTAGCTTTAACATATGAAAGGAGTGCCTTGTCAAATTGGTGTAAAGTTAAAAGTTGTGCTGGATCAGTCGCAATCTAATGAAAAAATTCACTAAACCATAATCGGCTTTGAGAAATCTGGTTTAAAACCATTCATCACTTCAGAGGAACTGTCTGCTATGGCCCAAATTGATTCATGAAGAGTGCTCTTTCGCAAGTGGCATACAGTTGTTTTAACACTCACTTTGTTCAGGACCTTGCTATTAATAACTATGTTACTTGAAGTGAAAATCTATTTCTATTAGAAACTATTTTATTTCCTAATGGAAAAGTGGTTGTAGTTTGAGTAGCATATTGATAGCAAAAATATTTGTATGCCCCTCTGTAAAGCTATAGCACACCACTTTCTTGTGTAATGTGTGTAGTTTGGTCACCTTATTTCAGAGACAAAACAGATATATAGAAGGATGACAGAGCTTCTATACAAGGACAGACTAGATCAACAGAGACTCTGATGTGAAAAAAGAGCATTAATGGAATGTGGGATAGAGATCTGCAAGATCAGAGAATAATTTGCTCCCTTTGTCTTCTGACCACAACCCATTGAAATCAATAGACTTCCATTAAAAAGCAACAACAACAAAAGGGCAACATGGAGAAGGTGCTGTGAGGAGCACTAGATTTGCAGAGCTCCGTTTTACTCTCCATGGTAATGGGTCTTTACAGTGAGGAAGAGGTTTATCCCTTCAAATATATGCACGTCTGCTGTTAGCTGACTGCAGACTCCTATAGCTTTTAGGGAGGCTTTCTAGCCTCCCAGACAGCTTAACAGAACTGTCAGGTACCCAGTTGTTAAAGCAATTGGGGTCCCTCAAGCCTTGATTCTGTTGATTGATTTTCAAAATTGAGATTGCCTAGACCTAAATTCTGCCCATACTGGAGTGTGTGATTCCAGAAATGGCTGAATATCAAGCCCCATTTTTATCTGTAGTTCAGCAAATGCTCCTGATTTAGCTTGCTTTTGAGAAGTCTCTTGGACTGCACAGCAGCTCACTTAATCTAAAGTCAAACTTTAGATTATGGAAGATGAGAAATTTGAGATCATGTGCCTGCAATTCATCCTAATTCTCTTTGTGTTTTGTGGTAGTCAGTGCATTGGGCAGGGCGTTCTGAGATCTATCGACCCTTTCAATTAAGCCAGTTGCCTACTCAAGGCTTCACAGTAGCTTTTCTCAAGGGCACTAAATTATCCTCAAAATTATTTCCTTTTATTCCCTTTCTTTTATAGAAGGTACTTTGAGGAAAAGAGCTGATTAAGCATTGTCAGTCTTCCCTTTGTAATAATTCTAAACTAAAGGCATGCCTGACAGGAGTGGTAGTAAGGAAAAAGGCTATATAAAAAGTGATATAAATCAAAACATACTTCCAATATCAAAACATACTTCCAATAAAAGATACGTTTTGTTATTTTACCTCTTGTTTTTAAGTTAAATAGCATTTTCAATATTATGCTAAATGTAGAAAATTATGGCTCCTTGCTTTTAAACGTCTTCTTAATGCTGAATTAATCCATTTTAATTTGGCACATGGAATAGAGGTTGAAGAAGTCCAGATGAGGTCCCTTCCAACCTTAATGAATCTATGAAATGGGCACGAGTAAATTGGATGGAGGGCTGCAGTTTTCACAGCAGATTTAAGATTATTTCAGAATTGGTTTCATTCCAGTTAAGTAAAGAACCTTACATTTTTGAAATGCTTTCGACAGTGGAGTTACTGCTTTTCTTTGTGCCCTGCTGAGGTCCGGGACTCCATGGCTCCCTGCTTGGCAGCCTGTGTTGGAGCTGTACCCGGAGAGCTGTGTAGGCTCAAACTGTAGAGCTTCCCAGGGAAGTCATCCTGATCCCAAATCACCAAGGAACTGAGGAAGTGAGCTGTGGGAGACTGGAAAAAAATTCTCTGTATGTAGTTTAGTTTTGATGTATTGAAAGATATGAAAAATATGTTTAATATGTTTGTTGCATCCCACCCAAAGGTTAAGCTGAAACACAGATTCTTGTGTGAGCAAGCAACTCAAGCTACTGCCTAGCCCTAATAACAGTGTCAGCCAAAGCACTTGCATCACACGGCAGAAGTTATTTTGGGTTTTGAAAACAACTGTCTTCCCTATAACAATGAAATGTGTGTGGAGGGGAGGAGGGTGATAGAGAACATAAGAGAAGATTTTTTATTCTCTTTCTTAGAATACGGAGTAAATGGAATAGATTATTTTCAAAGAGTGGGAAAGGTAGAGGTGTTTTAAAGCCAAATTTACACTCAGAAATGACGTAGGGAACACATCCTTGCCTTCAAAAGCACTTTTGATTGAAGGATATCAGCATGTTTCTAAACCTTAAGGAAGCCTCCACAATAGAAGTATTTTGAAGAGCAAAATGGCATA